CGACGCCGACCCGCTCAACAGCCGGGCCGGGTCCAAGAGCAGGCACATCGAGGCCTAGCTTCGATGCCAGGAAGGTGCGCGAGGCGTCGGAGAGCGAAGTCGCCGCTCCGACGCGACCGTCCTTGCGGGACGGATGCTTACCAAGCAAGATCCAAGCCAACTGCCGTTCCCGGCCAGCGGAACGGGACCCCGAGCAATCCGACGCGAGAGAGCTCCGTCCCCAGGAACTCCCAGGATGGCCCACAGATCCACAGGTGGTGCAAAACACCAACGTGCCCATGCGAGCACCGCCTGGGGAGGACACGGGAGCCTCGATGCACGAATGGCCACGGGCCTTCCAGGGCCTGAGGAGGGCCCAGGTCTCTTCCCCCGGCGGCGGCGGGGGGGCGGGGGAGGGCAGCGCTTCGCCTTCATCCCTCGCTTCGCCGCCAACTACCGCGCGCTCCCCTTCCACGACGGACGACCCCGGCTCGACGACCCCAGCCCCCCATCCACGCCGCCGTCATCGGCGTCGGCTGGAGCCTGAAAACGGCCGAGATCGACGTGGCGCAGCCAATCGAGTGAGACATGGTCGAAAACGGCGGCATCAGCAATCATCGCCTCCTGACGCGCCGAATACCGAGAGACAAACCGTGCAATCTCATGACATCCGATGATGACAAGACGATCGCAATAATCACTGCGATACATCTCTGCCCCCCTGTTGCGCATACAAGTCAGCCGCACGGTTGCCCAGCCACTGAACACGCGTCAGGCGGCCATCGATCACGTCCTTCTTTGTGCAATGGGAATGAACTTTTAAAACGCGGCAATCATCGAGTTTCTCATGCACCTGTGCCCACCAGTGCGCCCTCATGCTGTCCGGCCCTGCCGCCGACCTCGGATCCCTAGCGCAATCCATTGTGCCCGCACCATAAATGTGCAGGCTGGAGCCTGGAAGGGGAGAGGGGGGGGGAGAAGTTGAGGGGAAAGAGGATGATGAGAAAAATGAGGAGGGGGACCGGGATGTGGGGACAGGTGGTTGGGTGGTGGTGGGGTGGGGTGGGGGTAGCGAGCTTCAGGGCTCCAAGGTTCCATGGGGCACCCAGGTTGTTCCGGGGATAAGTGTGGGAATGATAAGAAGGGTGACGATGATAATGATGATGATGCTGATGATGATGGTGATGATGCTCATGATGATTATGATGGTGGTGGTGGTGATGATGATGATGGTGCCGATGACGACGACGATGCTGATGATAATTCTGATGATGCGGATGATGATGAAGATGATGGTGCGGATGACGATGGTGAGAATGATGATGACGATGATGATGATGATGATTATGATGCTGATGCTTATGATTATGTTGATGAGGATGACGATTATGATGGTGATGATGATGCTTCCTAACTGTTATTATGGTGATGATGAAGAAGATGATGATGCTGACGATACTGATTCATATTATGACGATGATGCTGCTGCTGATGATGATGACGATACTGATATAGAATAATAGTAATTTTATGATGATGATGATCATGTTGATGATGCTGATGGTGATGATGACGATTCTGATTATGGCGATGATGCTGCTGGTGATGGTGCTGATCATGCTGATGATGTTGCTGCTGCTGCTGATGATGATGATGATGATGATGATGATGAGACTGATGATGCTAATGATGATGCTGTTGTTGATTATGCTGCTGCTGATGATGATGGTGATGCTGATGCTGATGCTGATGCTGATGCTGCTGCTGATGATGATGCTGCTCACGATGATGCTGTTGACTGGTATCGAATATGACGCGTATGATGATTATGTTGCAGCTGCGGATGCTGATGCGGCTGAAGTTGCTGCTGCTACTGATAACGATCAGATGGCACCGATGACGATGATGGTAGGGATGATGATGCCAACGACGACGACAACGACGATGACGATGCTGTTTTTCACCGCGAACGACTTCCAGTCAAAGGGAGAACCGGAGGAGGAGAAGGGAGGAGGACGAGGAGGTGGAGGAGGAGGAGGAGGAGGAGGAGGAGAAGGAGGAGGAGGAGGCGGAGGAGGAGGAGGAGGAGGAGAAGAGGAGGAGGAGGCGGAGGAGGAGAGGCGGAGGAGGAGGAGGAGGAGGAGGAGGAGGAGGAGGAGGAAGGAGATGAGGCCCTGGGCCGCGCGCCAGCGGCTCCGTGGCCAGCCAGCAGCCCACCCGCCCTCAGCTATTGGCGCCGGCCCCCCCGCGCCTCCCGCCGGAGGCGTCCTGCGTTCCAGGCCCGCGCATCGCGCGAGGTGCCTGGCCAGAAGTCCTGGGCTGGGCGCGCGAGGGCCTCGTGCCCTGCCTGGCTCGGCGGCCGCCCTGGCGGAAGGCAAGGCTCGGCCAGCGCTCTCTCAGCACGCCGCCTGCCCTCGCCGCGGTGGCCCCGCTCCGCGCGCAGTGCCAGACCGGCCCTGTGCCATGAGCTCGGAGATCGTGGGAGGGGTGGGTGAGCTGCCCTCCTGCTCTCGAAGGAGAAAACAACGGCGCAAGCATAAACTTGTGCACGGCTGGGCGTGCCCCTTCTGCAGGCCCAGGGCCCGAAGCTGCTGCGAGCACCACGGGCGGCCCGCCGCGTGCCGTTCGCAGCCATGCCGGTTTCTACGCGCTCCTCGAGCCCCGCGCTGCGGACGGGCACGCCTTGCGGCGAAGGCAAGCCGCCGCGCCGCGCCGCGGGCACCACCGACGACAAATCGTCGAGCGGCTTGGTCTCCAGCAGCGCAGCCTCGTGCAGCGCCGCGGCCCGCGGCCGCTTCCGAGCAGCCTCGCCCCAAGGCTAAGTCGGGCATGTTCCTCTAGAGGAGGAATATTCAAGGATAGTCAAAAGATCAAGTCGGGCGACGATTTTTTGAGTATTATTTTTTTTTGATGTTTGTTGAGGCCTTCCCTCTCGCCTCCCTCGTCCCCCGCCGCCTCCTTGCCCCCTCCCCCCCGCGTTAGGCAAACAAGCAAGCTCTCGTGCGAATATTGTGCATTCACTGGACTGGCCTCCAAAGAGTCCAGATTTGATGAGCACACCGTGCTCATTCCGATTCTCTGCCGATGCGCCTTTGCTGCCGCCTGGCTTGACTGACTGACTGATTTCTTCTTTCAAAAAAAATCATTCGTCCAGAATCCGCCTGTAGGAGGACACGCCCGTCCTAACCCCAAGCCGCGGCGCCTCGGTTATTTTCTCGCCCACGTCCAGGAGGACGGCCGCCGGCCGCTGCCTTGACGCGCGCGGCCAATGCATGTCCGCATCCCCTGGGCCGCCAGCACGTCTCGCTCTCTGCCGGCATCGCCCCAAGGCCGCCGCCCTGTCGGCGAGCTCGTCCGCAGCCTTGTCGAGGCGCACGTGCAGCACAGTCTGGTAGAAAATCATGGGAGCCTTGTATGCAGTGGAGGCCAGTCCACAAGAAACCTTCCACAAGAAACCGAGCCCTGAGTCCCCAGGACGTCCATTGTTTTTTTGTTGTTGCGGGAACGCCGCGCTTTCTTTAGCAGAACCATCAGAACCAGAAGCATGCTGGAGGCAAGCAGGGTGTTTCTCGGCATGGGTCTCTACCCTCGTAATTCCGTCTCTAGCCTCGATTCGCGTCGATCAGCGTCTGGGGGTCGATGAGATGGCGCCGATTCAGCGTCGGCTTGCGCCGATTAGCATCGATTTGGCGTCGGTCAGCGTCGAATAGCGTTGATGAGAGCGTCGATGCGCAAGCGCCGACGAAATGGTCTGGGAGGCTCCAGTGAGCTGCCACCGAAAACACAGGGCATCCCCTGCGGACTGCTGATGGCCCTGCCCACGTCGACGTGGCTCTCGACCTCGTGGATGGCCAGCCCGCAAGCGCCGCTCCTGCCCGCAGCGCCCCCCCCAGCGGCTTCCTTAGAGGCCGCATGAGGGCTCCGCGGCGCCCGGCCCCAGGGCCTCCGGCAGCCTCGCGCGATGTGCGTCTCGAGTCGGCGACGTAGTCGAGCTCGCGCCCCTCCGCATCGCAGTCCATGACTCGGCGGCGAGCCCCGGGGGGGAAGTGAGAATAGGGGAACGAAGAATGACAGAAACATAACAACTCGGAGGTCCACGCGGATCTCTCGGACCCGCGCTGGAGCACCCTGGCGGCGCCTCCGGCGCCGCCCCTGGCGCGCGGACCGCGCGCCAGGGAGAGGGGTCCAGCGCCGATCCGAGAAGTCCGCACGGGCCTCCGAGTTTTTATGTTTATGGCATTGATGTTTCCATAGAGAAGGAGAAGGCCTTCTGCGAAGGTCCAGAAGTCCCGTGGCCTTCTGAGAAGTTTTCTAAGCCTTCCCCGAAGGCGCACAAAACACTTCTCAGAAAACACAAGGGCTTCTGAGAAGTCCGTCCGCCTTTGAGAAGCC